AAAAAAAAAAAAAATCTTACCGGATCCCTAATTGAGGTTTTGGTGAAGTTCTCTATCCAGGAATTCACATCAATTTTAATTCCAACAACTGAAAAATTAATGTGAATTAAAGACATAAGCTGTATGATCATCTTTGCTACACGACAGGCCAGGGCAGGGAGGGCGAATCTTTTAGAGCTTTCAACATTAACAACTGCCTGCTGCGGCACGTGTGCCACAGGTTCACCACCCCTGGTCCAGGTGATTTACATAACAGCAAGTAAGTGTTCGGTTGTAAATAATTCTTTATGGAGGTACATGTCCTAGGGTCTTCGTTAAGATATGGTGCTACTAGCCCTTAAACTATGGCATAAGCTCGTTTCCTAACAGCAGAAGCGGAACTCAAAGCCGCAGAGTCAGACGACATCCCAGGGCTGCCTGTGCCAGGCTGGGGTAGGCAGGCAGTGGGTGACAGGAGCAGGAGGGGGCCGAGGACAGCCGACCTCCAGTCTCTAACGGCCATTCTCTGCACGCTGCACACAGCACAGGCTCAGCAGGAGCGGAGGGACAGATTTCACTGCACCTTCTTCTCCGAGGCCCGCCCACTCCGAATCACCACTGGCAATCAGATTTCCTATTGAATTACCAATAATTCACTTTTCCACATATTTCCCTGCACATTCTGATAGAGACCTACTCACTTCTTTTTGATGGACATACAGTGGTCTAACAGAGATTCCAGAACTTATTTTTCCCCCACTGTTGCAAACTTTCATGAATAAATTATTTCAAATACATATACCCTTGCCCAATATCAGGCTGTATTAGAGAGTTGGAGAGACTTCTAGCATACAATGGCTAGGTCCGCCCAATATAAGTTTTTATATAATGCTACCTTGATTGCATAAATTTATGAACAGCACATAAACGTAGCCACTTCTTTGAAAATCCATGTACTCCATATAGTAGTAAATTCTCACAGTTCATAAGTTACTGATTGTACATTAAAAAAAAAAAAATCCCGAGTTGTTGACTTGGGGGCTTCCTGCCACATGCTGCCAGTTTATGATGTAAATGTGAGCTCGCATTTACTTCTGGTCAGGTTTGCACGTGTAACATGCATGCTTACCTGCAGGCTTAAGGAGTTTTCCTTGGATGTATATTTCTACAGCTTTGCTTACCATAATGCCTGATTCATAGGCACCAGGTCCACTTTCTAAAGAAAAAAAAAAAAAAAAATCTACATAAATCACCACACTGGGTTTCTTTTAACAGATACTCGGCCCTAAAAATGTTCGTGTTTGAGCCCTGCGCAGAGAGAAAGCTCGTCCCTGCCTCCTCTTGCTTCGCGTGCCTGGCTGGCCCGAGAGCCCCCGAGGGGCTCCCACGGTGTGCCGCGTGCGTGCCAGTGTCCCTCACAGCATTTGCTGAAGCACTGGGGCAGCTGCTGAAGTGAGACAGAATGAATGGGCTTGCATCTGTGTGGAGACCTCTGCCCTTTATGATAAACCTGTGGAACAAAACTGAAAGCCTCCGAGCCTCAGTTTTCTAATTTGTGGAAATGGGAGTAAAGAATATCTACGCTCTGAGAAGTTCAGGAAGTAAATTTGAAAGTTTTCATTTTGGGGGGTGGGCAAGAACCTAGTAAAATATTTTAAAGGACCTGTTATTTTTATAAATACTACAAAATGCAATTCATTAATTCATCCCACTGCAGTTCACAGTCGACTTTTCAGCACACTTTCTGGGACAGCAGGCAGTAGTAGAAAGTTGTTCAGGGGGAAGACCGAGAACCGAGCTCCGGCGCGACACTCACTGTTAAAGTAGGGAGCGGTGAAGACGTAGTTGTCGTTATCCAGGCTCCGCTTGTAGAAGCTGTCCTCGTAGGTTTCTGGGTTTTCCTGCCAATTTTCTCCGGCCCTGAGGAGGAAACGGCTCTCGTGTGTATTCTTTCAGCTCCCTGATAACCTGCTCGGCCCTCCCCCAAGGGGCTTTAGGGATGAGCCGCGGGCAGGACGTCAGGGGCAGGGAGCTGACTGCCGGGGGATGATCCAAGGCTCCCTGCTAAGCACTAGCTCAGCAGAGCGCGGCACTAAGAGTCACAAATGGACTCGGAGCTTTATTCTGCCATTGACTAGACGGAAAATGATGGGTAAGTCGGCTAATAAGCTAATTAGTACCAACAGGCCCCGGTGCCTCCTCTCCCCCGTACGAACTGTCCCTTAGGTACAGAGATAAGATGCACCAAAGGGCACTGGAAACAACGTCCTCTGGGGTGGAATTTTTCAGATAAAATATTTTATAATATATTTTAACGTAACTCTTTAAACAATGGCTTCACTTTAACAATGAACAGTTTCCCCTGAAGAATGGCTTCCTTATACAGTAATGTACGGGCCGCTGGCACGGTCAGCTGCGACGCAGTTATTTTTACAGATGTTATTTGAACTTACTCCTTGGGATAAACTCTGGTAATCCCACCATCCGTCACCACAAACCGCGCTCTGACTCCCTTGCTGCAACAGAAGACAGAGAGGGGCTTCTGCGTTACACTTCCTCTGACACTAAGCTAGGGCTTGGCGAAGAGCACACGTCCTGAAAGGAAGGCGAGGACGCGAGGCTGCGCGACAGCAGACGAGACCCCGATGGAGCACGCGCTCCCCGGGCTCTGCTGCGGGGAGGGAGCCACGGGAAGTGGTCCTGGCCACGTCCTGCAGATGCCACGGGCAGGGGCGGGCGCAAAGCGGGGCTGTCGCGAGAGGGCGAGAGGGCGGGAGGTAAGGAGGAGGCGCACAAGGCCACGAAGGCGCAGCGCAGGCCGGGCGTCAGGGCAAAACGCTCCGCTGACGCATGAGCGTAAAGTGCGCGCACGCACGCACGCACGCACGCACGCACGCACGCGGTCTCCATCCGGAAACGGCCTGCGCAGCGGAAGGTTCCAGCGTGAGCGAGGGGCACAGAGGCCGGGCTGGGGCGGTGTGCAGGAGAGCACCGGCTGGTCGAGTCTTGAAAAGGGGACTGTGAGGCGCTCACTGGGAGCGAGAAAGGACCCTGCTAGGGGAACACGCATCACTTAGTTAGGGACTGAGAAAGAGATGGTAGGGAGAACCATAAGGGGTTCCTCAGTCCCTTCCCTGGAGGTACGCGAGGAGCAGGGAGAAAGCCGCTGCGCGGTCACCAGACGTCCAGGGCTCTCCCAAATGCAGGAAAGCACACGCAGGCCTATTTAATTTGGGTAATTCTCCCGGAAGTGTGAAACGGAGTAACAGCACGTTATGAAATACACCCAAAACTGAAAACGCAGGCTGTCAGCAATTACAAAATTATTTCCCTGAGAAATTCTTATTAAATATCAGTATCTGTTCCGTACACAAATCAAATCCCCATGATGAACGCAACCAGTATGTACTATAAGCATTAACAAAGAAAAATGGAAAAAGATAAGTAATAAACTTTCAATTTATTCGGCCCGCTATCTGCACATTTCCCAGGGAGAAGTTAAACTGAGCTGCAGAATGCGTATGTTTTATTATTAATCTGGACAAATACTTACATATTTTTCTGCTTACTCCAGTAATTTTGAACAAGTTCATTGGTAAAACCTGCATCCAGCAAGACTCTGTTAATTAAATCTGTGTTACCTAACAGAAAAAGAATAGCTTTGATTATATTCATATAGTCCTTTTAATTAGGATAATGATAAAAATATATCTTCAATTTTGAAAACAGGATGGATTACACTCTTAGAAATTTTAAAACGCAGTTTGTTCTCATATGTTCTGCATTACTGTTACTTTACTTTTTGTTTCCTTGTGTTTTTTCTTTTTCTTTTTTTTTTTAGAAAATAAATGAGGGCTGGGGAGAAAACTCAGTGGAATAAGTGCTTGCCAGGCAAGCACAAGGTCCTGAGTTCAATCCCTGGTACCACCAAAAAAAAAAAAAAAAAATGAATTCTGCAGAGAAAGTTGTAAATTTTAATCAAAAGGATAATTGTTCTTTGTTTCTTAGGTTAGTATGGCAACTTCAACATAATAACTTCAATTTTATATACATAAAATTTTTAGAGACATAAATCTTGCATCATTTTGCACACATTCATATGTTTCTATGAATTTTAAACTTATCAAGAAAACCAAACAAAATGTTCTTGCTATACCAAAAGTCACTTTTTAAAATTCTTCCTCATTCTCAATAGCAAAATATAAGATAATCCTGCAGAGAAGTCGGCCTCCAAGAGAAATCTGATGCATACTCTTTTCACTTTGGAGCAGGCACAAGGAACAGGACACCTAATGCAGAGCAGCGCTACTCAGGACAGGGTTGGGGACCTGCAGCTGCCAGGGAAGAGCCTGGCTGGGGCTGTCCTGCCGGATAGCCAAGGAGTGGGACACCCTGCACTCAGAAGTCCTGCGGGAAGAGGTGAGGGGGGCGGAGGCTGGTTAATCCCACTGCTAAAAATCAGCACCTCCTTCCCTCGCGCCTGCCTCCTCTGCTCTGAGCCCGGGAAGCTCTGGAATAACCACAAAGAACCCTGTAACATTTGACATCCATGTCTGAATTTCATTTATTCGGATGAGGAATACATGGCATTAGTTAATGTGCAATTACAAGAAGAAGTGGGTGGGACCAGCTAGAAACATTTGCAATGATTTTAATTAGGTTCAGATTTCCTTCATCCAAGATTAAAGGATCAATTTAATCCATATTTGGAAGTGCCTTTCACTTCCTGCTAGCAGCTGTCTTCTTTACTGTATTATTTTAAAAGTTGTATGACTTTAAGTGATAGTCCATTGGCAAAGTAAATGATATATTTTATAGACTCCAATCTTTTTAGGTCAAACTAAGGTGTATTATTCTAATGTGTCATATAAATCAAGTCTGCAAGTAATTTTATGATGATTTTTGTCATTTCATTATGTTCTATGCGTCTCAACACATGTATTCAATAGGGGTTACACACAACATAGAAAGTATCAGAATAAATCTTTTTTGTTTCATACACATCATTTTTAAATGTTATGAGATTCTTCTTCTTTACAGTTATTAGGGTGAGACAGACAATCCATCTAAGCAGTACTTAATGATAAAGAGAAGATGCAAGGAGCAACTACTGTGTATCAAACATTTATGGTAGGTTTAAAAATTAAACTTTAGGAAAGAATTGCAATTTCACTAGTGGTTTGAGTCTAGGTGTTTCACACAGCAAATTAAACATGAACGCTCTTTTCAAAAATAAACTTTATAAGTGATTTCAGTCACTTATAATAAGTTAGTTTTATAGTAACTCTAATAATAATGAAAATGTAAAATAAAAACATTCAGAAAAAAATCCAGCTGTTCAGTATGGGTTCTCTTCTACAATTACCAATCTCTGCCTTCTCAGCCTCCGCATGACTTTTTATATTACCATCTGAAACACTTCCCTTTGGATTATACGAGAGGCAGATATGAAGAAAGAGATCACGGCGCACAAAGCAACAGTATGAATTATGCTGACAGCACTTTGTGCAAACATACTGATGCTTCCTTAGGAACTTTGAGAGGCACTGAAAAAGTGATACCAGTTGCCCTGGTTACCTGCAAATGTGTTCTATACAGTAAGACAAACATTTATAACGAACTTCTCTTCGTAAAGAGCACATGGCTGGCACATAATTTTGCTATCGTATTCAAGGAATACTCAATAATCTTGTTTTGTACTAATAGGAAATAAGCAATGACATAAAACCACATTGCCCCTGGCTTCAGTCGAGCTCACAGCGGGAACAGAGGATGGACACTAAGTGCTGCGGACCTCGGCTGCCCGGGACAGATGCTCGGAGAGGCTCTTGGAAGCAGCTTGCTAAGTCACACTAAAGCAAAGGCACTCGCAAGTCATTATTTTTTTTTGTTTGTCTGTGACAAATTTAAATTTAAGAGGGAGCTTCAAGAAGAAAGATTTTCACTTTTGGTAAGTGACAAGATACTTCAGTTGACTCTTCATGATTGAAAAAGAAAAAATAATTTTTACACAGAAATGAGGAGACAAAGGAGGAGGGGGGGCAGGGATCACATTGTTATGCTTTACCACTAAAGTTCTTGAAGTATGCAAATCAACAATCATGCTAATAAACAAACAGGGTTACCGCATGATATGACGAAGAGTTGAGCTTTGGCTACATTGTATATAGCCGTGCAAATCATGCATACTTACATGATGGGTTGTTTGGAGTTTTTCTGTCAATAAACTCATTGAAATTTAGAAGAAATTCAGTGTTGTTTTCAGATGGTTTAAGGTCATTGCAGTAATCTCTGAAAACATATTTTAGAATATTACGTATTAATATCAAAACTTTATAGGGCAATTAAAAATAATAGGCTTTTTCTTTTCATTTTTCGCTAGCTTCATAGTTTCGCAGGCTCTTGAACATTGTGTTATCTCTATTTCTTCAGTTTCCTAATGGAATGGTAATTTGTCCCTAAGAGGTGAGAATATAATTTAAGCATTTTTTTTTTTCTTTCTGGCAGAACCGGGAATTGAACGCAGACCCTTGTGCTTGCCAGGCAAGTGCTTCTTCTACGGAGCCATCTCGCCAGCCCCACCCATCTCCCCTCCCCAAGGTGAGAATGCAGACAATACAGACACATGAAGAAGCTGCTCTCTGGCCAGTGGGTATTCAGTAAACATTGAGTTTTGTTGTACATATTAAACTATTATCATTGCATGCTGGAGGTTGTACAGTTCTCACGGAAGTCACAACAGGAATTTGAACAGTCACTCAGTAAAATTGCTGAGACATTCAAGCTACCCTACCAGCAGCCTTTCCAGTTTTATTGAACAATATTTAAAGAAGAGTATTTCCTCTTTTCTAGGGGGAAGTTTCATCAAGGTAATGATTCTTACTGGCTCATTTCAGGACATTTTAAAGTAAATCTGGCTTTACACTCGTGGGGGCCTGGCAGCAAGACTAGAAGGCTGATGGTGACCCTGACTTGATACACGCTAAGCCATTTTTCTGCCACAGATTCTTTTCTCTAGCACAATGCCAACAGGAGAAGAAGGGCAGACTGCACTTAGCATCATCATGGAAACAGTGGGAAGCCAGAAGATGCCCTGCAGGGCCTCTGGAACCTACATGGTTCTACAGACCTTTGTATGAGAACCAATCAGAAATTATTGAGAAATTCACCAAAAGGTAAAGTAACACAGATCTGTAAAGCTCACAATTATCATTAGGAGGATGACACAAGCAACAGCACAATGTTCAAGATAAGATAGAGTTAAATAATAATTAAGGAGGAAACCTCTTCAGATGCAAAGCCATTACCCAAACCCACAGTCTCAAAACACAGCACAACCCAAAGTTAGAACTTCAAAACAAACATTTTATGAAAATGTTTAGCCTGGAGGCAAGATCTCAGAAGTTTACAGGACTTAAACTCTTTGAGTTGTTGACAAGAGCTCAATTTGATTTCTTCCTGCAGAGCTATCCTGTCTTAGGAACAAACAGCAAAATCCAGGACAATGATGAAACCAGAGGTGGAAGAGGACAAAGTGCTTGGAAGCCAAATAGAGATAAACTATACAATGGAAATGTGAGAGAGCCTGAGTCCTGTGTCACTGAAATGCGTTCCTTAGGGAGACAAATGATCCAGAGGCTGAGAGAAGTCACTTCTGGTGGGGAGCCCGCTGGTCAGCCCAGACAGGACAGTCAACCCCCTTTGGTTCCAATCCAAGAGTGTTCAGGAGGTGTCCACGCAAAGACTGCAGTTCAGTAAAACAGAGCAAGGTCCAGACACTCAGAGACCTTCTCCATTCTAGGTGGCAGTGTTTCTCCCAAAGAAACCAGTTTTTCCTTTTTTCTTTCTTAAAATATATTTAGTAGGGAGTCTACAGGGTCTCACTACACAGATCGGACTCATAGTGTCCTCTTGTTTTTAAAGCTCCCAAGTGCTCAGATTATAGGTGTGCGCCACCATGCCCAGTCTCAACTGCCGTCTCAGCATGCCCCAGGGCGGGGCCGGCAGGGCACCCTGGGGATCAAACCCCGGTCTTTGCACCTGCCCAAGCAGGTGCTTTAGTCTGCTGAGCTACCTGGCCAGCCTGAAGAAACCAGGTTTTACACATTGCTCTCTCAGGAAGAAAAGGATTGTGCAGGGAAACAGAGGCAGCAAAACAACGAAGTGCTCCGATGACCTTGGAGGAAAACAACTTCAGTATGTCTTCAAAGACTGAAAGCTGCATCTTGTGGTCATTTTGTGTCTCATATTAAATGAGCTTTGAAACATAAATGATTTGGGAACTAACTGGGATTAGCAATCTGACAAAATTACTTCTAGAACACCACGGGGCTTGTGGTTTTATTATGCTCATCCCAATTACACAGGCAAGACACTAGAAGTGGACACAAAGTGCAGATACTGCACGTTCTCTCCCCCTCATCCTAGTTCATTTCTCTTTCTGATTCTCAGGGACAATTAATCCATGTTGGAGACTGCTCATCCGAGGACCGCACGCCACCCACGGCTGCGGGGGCACCCTTGCACCTCCGTCCTCAGGGCTTCCCTGTGCAACTTCAAAATCTAAGAGAAGAGCCAGTGGGGATCCTCCACCCAGAGCAAAGAGCCTAACTTAGCTCAGAACTGGCAAAAACTTATTCCTAAAATCTATAAGTATTTATATTAAATAAGCAAATTTAAACACCATTTATGAAATAATGCTTTTCATACAACCACTGCCTCCTTTTAAAACTGTCAGTAACGATATGAAAACACTTATTTAGAGCTCATATCTTACTAAGAACGATGATAAATATTTTGCACTTATTATTTTATTTAAAGCTAATAAATCTGTAAGATAGATATTATCTTGCAACTAAAGATTAGTAGAGAATATAACAACGAAGATCTGAAAAGCAGACCCATAGTCTCTTGCTAACACTTTCTCATTAATGACAGTGACAGAACAATATAGGGTTATAATCCTGCACCACACAGATTTCTAATTTTTAGAACTCTTCTCTTTGTCCCAGTTTCTGTCACCTTATGCGCTACCCCTCTGAGTGCACACTCAGCACTCACTTTTCCAAGACAGCTTCCATGCAAGGATATGCTACTTGATGCACTAGGAGCTCTTTTGAGACATTTCAGGCATTACATATTCCACGTGCATGCTCGTTCCCTATGACCAGCAGGGAAATTCAAATCCCATCTAATTTCTTCTCTGAAACTGTTTCCTAATCCATGAAATGGCATAAGAATTCTAGCTTACCATAGTGTTGCTCTGGACAGTAGGAGCAGCAGTGCACGGGAAGCTTCACCCCCGCTAACTGACGCCCCTCGTCTGCCCCACACACTCCTTTCTCTCCCTTCTTGGACTTTAGCCTCACCCGAGAACAGGTGAATTCTACCTTTCAGCAGCGGCACTGACATCGAGAGTGTCTTAGCCACAGAATCATCGAATGCTGATCCCCGGAGGAGCAAACAAAACTCACTGCCTAGCAGTTGGAATTGCAAGGGGGTCAGCTGTCGCCGTACCACGTGCTCCAGGACGTGTACCCCTGCTTCTGAGACAGCTAGTCTGGCATTTATCAACTAGGAGAGACGAATGCAGCCGCATTCCTGAGAAAAACAGATCTGAGATTTTGGAGAAAGTGTCTTTTCACCATAGACTGCACTTCAACCCCTCCGTCATCTCACTATGGTCATGCTCTTGTGGAATATCTTTCCAGCTGATATTCACATTGGGTCATGAGGGAGAATGTTCTTCTTTCTAGTATAAACTGATTTTAGTCACTTAGAAATAACCAAGTTAACTTAAAGCTGCTCAAAGTTACTTGTGCCTGAAAAATACTAGTAAGACGGCATCGCTGCTAGATCAATAAATGACTTCATTTTTGAGGATGTTGACAAGTATATGACACAAGGGCAGAGACTGCTGGGGACACCTTCCAGCTGGGCAGGGGCTCACTTAGTTTCTCGGTATGGAGCCAACTGGAGACTTTGACTCTTTAATTCATTAGAACCAGGTGGAATTCTGCACTCTTCTCCTTCATGTTTATTTTTCAAGATGCTTTTGAACAGTAACTGAGAACCCCATTCAACTGCAGAGATCCAATCGTATGGCTTTAAATGTTTTTCACAGATTGACAGGTTCCCCAGCTACTAGGTATTTACTCAGCAACTGCACTGTGCTGGGCCATGACCTGGCTATTGGGTTCTGAAGGGTAATTCCAGGATTCACAGGCTCAGCTCTCCGGAAAAAAAGCAAGGAATGTGAGGTGTGGCTCTGAAAGGGCAGGGAACCCCGCGGCTCTGAAGCAGACCCCTGGATGCTCAGCCCCGGGAACGTGGGAAATTCCCAAAGAATCTTGGGTTTGGGGTTTGGAACACGGTGGGGTGTATAGGCAGAGCTGGTGGGCAGGAGACGGCAGAGAACAGCGACAGTGGGAGCAGCGCTGGCCGAGGGGGGGCTCAGCTGGAGCCGAGGCGAACACGCTTTCCTCGAGGCCCGCATGGGCCGCGAGTCCTGCTCTCTGGGCCGCACGGCCACGTGTGCAGCCAGAGGCGACACAGGAACGAGTGCCGCTCGGCTCACAGGAGCCAGCTTGCAGGCCCCAGAGCTACAGGACGGGCCGCGGCCCCGCAACACAGAGACTCGGGGGCGGCACATGTGAAAGCGATGACATAGTACCGATTATCCTGAGGACGGTGCAGGCCACCAGCTAGATCAGGCAGGCCAGGGCCTCAGACTGCTTCCCATCTTAGAAGCACTGATTGGGTACTGAGCAGAGGTCGGACTGCACCAGGAAGTGGGGTGAGGGGGAACTGGGGGATCGGGAGCAACTGGGACCACTGGAACTTAGCGGCACACAGGGGTATTGGGTGAGGACAAAAAAGAGAGTGACAGGCATACAAAGCTCTCATTAGACGGAAATGGTACGGTGTGGCCTGGGCTCGCCATCAGATGTGTGGGCAGGAGAGCAGGCCAGGACAGCCAGGATTCATGGCGGCATACTGTGCCTGCTTTCCTGACCAGCAAAAGACAACTTTTCAAAGAGAATGGATATTTAAAGCTGCCAAACTTGAAGCACCTAGAGCCAGCCAGATAGCTCAGCAGACTCAAGAGCCTGCTTGGGCAGAGCGCAGAGGCTGGGGTTCAATCCCAAGCATGCTGTGCTCCCTCGCCTCCTTGGGCAAAAGGTGCACTGCGCAGGCCTGAGTTTAGCAGCGTCTTCTCTGACTGTCGCACAGACCTCCGGTTTCTACCGTCAGAATCCAGCCTGCACTCACTTCTGCCAGTGTAACAGAGTAGCTCTGAGTAACTTTATGAGCCCTGTTTGCCTTCACAGAGAAACTTCTCTAGATAGGATAAGTGTAAAAAGTTAATATAAATACCTGTATCTAGTTTCTTAATTCATTTAGCCTAGATTTATGAGAAATACATTTTCTTAATTTAAGTGTCTGCTAGATATCAGGGTCAAAAGCTGAGGAAAGAAAAATAAAGAACTCTAGGGTTTTTTTTTAATAGATTCAAAGAAATTACAAGAAAATAGAGCTGCAATAAATGATATCTATTGGGGTAAAAGTAGGAAATTACATGAGATACCTAGAGTAGAAAAAAATGTCAATATGAAAAATTAGAGATGATGTTCTTAAAATACAGCTTTCCAGGAAGTTAGGTTAGAACATGAACAAAAATCAGTTATAAAGTTAAAGTGGCACACACGTGTGCAAATACCCATTTGTGTTTGCCCACGTCTAGGTATATCTGCAGGCCTCCATGTATGTGAGCTCTGTGAGTCAGACACTACACGTGTGCTCACAGGTGCAAAAGCACAAGTCCGCACTGCTGTGGAGGTGCTCAGAGCCTCCTCAGGGCAAGGCTACCTCTGCCTCATGCAGCCTTCTGCACCCAAGCGGGCTCGCCACTAGGCACACAGCGACTGCTAAGTATAGACTAGGTGAGGAAAAAAGAACAAGCTGTTGAAAAGTCCTAAAGTCACTGCTTCTCTCGGTTCCATCATTTGACACAGAATCAAAATGGGGCAGGCAGCCCCTGCTCAGAACTCTGTGGAAAGATTTACCCAACCATATCACTTATAAAAAAGGCAAACAAATGAAACCAACCTGGGTGCTATGAATGTGTAGCCAGATTCTTCAAAATTATCTGGCTTCAGGGTTTCTGAATCTGTAAAGTAACAAAACAGGATTAGACCAGAGTGCATGCTCCAAGATTTGATGGAACTAAAAGGCCTGAGGAGGATTACCTCCTAAGGAAATGGGGCTGCTAGAACCTAAAGCTGCACCAGGCCGGTGACTGCTGATGTGTTCCAAGCTCCCCAGTATAATAAATCTTCATGTGCATGAACTTCATCACATCACTACAGCAGATAACGCCAGAAACAATGCTATTCAAGCTTTTCCTATTGTTAGGGCTATGGTAACTGTGTAGCTTTAAAAAGAGACGGCATGTGTTTTATTTAAAGTATCAGTAAGACAAGTTTAGCAACAACATGATAAAGAAAATTATTTTAATAAATCCATTAATGCATGTAGTGAATCAATGACATTCATTGTGTTAGGTATAAATTAGTAGGTGGAAGGAGAAAATATACACAATTTTATATCTAATAAAAGAGAACCTGAATGTGAAACATGTTGCACATGAAAATGTAAGTGTCTCCCTCCCCCAGTCTTGGTGGCTAAGGCTTGGGTGGCCCTGGAGGAAACTCCAGCAAATGAGAAGCACAGAGGAAAATCTCCAGGAGGAATGGAAGTGTCTGGAAATGTCAAGAAACTACACAGAAAGAAATTGAGCAACAAGAAAATACTTGCCCTTCATTTTTCCCTTTTTTGCTGTGAAAATCCATCAGAAAGAGAAAGCAGGGAAACAAAAAAAAAGAGGGTAAAGCAAAGGGGGTCACAAACAATATTTTATTCAATGACTTTCTTGAATAAAAATATTGTGCATAGATCAAAGGTTCATTTATGTACAGCTATAGTCTGGAGAAAAGCATGTATTTCTGAAGGCTAGAAATCATGTCTTGTTTATAGCGCGCCCTGTCTGCACCGTGGTTATTTCTAGGGTCTCTTCTGCAAAGTGGTTAACACAGGCGCAATGCGAATGCCATCAGCCTATTAACGGGAGCACTTACCAGTCATCGAAGGCTCGCCAGTCAGCCCTTTACTTATCAAGGAAAGCACTAGCTCATGCAATATTGTCTTTTCTTAAAAGACCATCATATCTGTTACGTGCAAGTGCAACTATGAACGCATCAGACACCATGATATCCTGTGAAAAAGGCCTGCGTTGAGCAGAAGACCACCGACACGGAAGTGTGGGAAACTGTAGTGCCCTTTAAAATCAGATATGATGCATAATTATATTAACACATATTAAATTACATATATGCATATACAGTTTTCATTTAATCCTTGTTACTAATAATTGAGCAATGTGGAAAGGATATGATGGTCATTTTACTTTACTAAATCTAGCCACTCAAAACGAAATAAAATTAACAAGGACTTGAAATATGCACTTGTGTCACTAGTCACTCCACATTCCAAATGGTGCTTTAAGAAAACGAATCCATTTGAGTTACTGAGACATTAATTTGGATTATGGAAAGAGTTAATTGCCAAGCACAATAATATTCTGGCCAAATGCAAAAGCAAAACAAAACCAAAAGGAAAGATAAGAAAAGAAAAAAGCTTTCCTAGCACAGTGCCATGAGTGGGGAGCATGTAGACAGGGTGGGGGACATTTCCGGCAGCCAGCAGGGCCTTCGGAGATGGCCACACAGAGGACAGGCGCTGCAATGATTCCGGCACATAGCAAGGCGGGGGGCGGGGAGGGCTGCCACTGGGACCGCAGTACCTGCTCATATTCTATCCGAGTAGAATATTTCTTGTTCCTTGCATGTTTGGAATGGGTTAGAATCATTGCTGCAGATTTGGTGACCACACCTACTAAGACTACTAGAACGCCTTGGGTATTCCAAAATCTAGACATACTCAAACATCTGAGACTAGGAGACCATAACAAATAGACCCTGAAGTTGCTTTCACAGTACTTACATCTGGCCTGAGTTATTGTCTCTTCTATTTTGGCTTTTATATAGTAAAAACTGTAGGTTGGTAATACCAAGGCCAAACTGCAATAGAAACAAGAGAAGCATAAACACAAACAAACAGAAATGAAACAACATAAACAGAAAGACACATCATCCAAAGACCTTCCTCATGGAGGAAAGGACATATTACTTTGACAAGATAATGCGGCAGCAAAGAGGGTACCCAATGATCACCTCATCACCCCGAGTTACCCCACTCTCCACGTGCAAGGGAATCAAGGGGCACGTGGAAAGTTAGCTACCAAATGCTCCCTGAATTCCAAGGACCTAGTCATGAGGTCTCTACTGTACTGCCAGAAAAGTCCATTAGAATAAAATATTTAAAGTAATACGAATCCAAGCTGCACAGTGAGACCCTGTACCAAATACATAAAATAAATAAAATATTCCTCATGTTCTTCCACCACCAACAGATTACTTGGACACTGTCTACTGAGTGTATTATATAGCACTAAAATGTTTTATATCCAAAATGGAACTAAAAGCCCCCTCCCCCAAAATAATCCCAGAAAGGAGAATTATTGTCATTACTATTGCACCACGCAACAATTATGTGAAATATATAGTTCAGGCACCGGATGCCTACTATTTTAGAACTCAGCCTGGGTAAGGTCCTGAGCACCCACTCGGGGTCAATTCTGTGGCTTCCGGCATCACTGATGCGCATTCTCGGTCGCTGAGGCTCACCAGCACAAGGAGGAGGCCGCAGCACCCCTTTCCAGCTCATCTGCTGCAGATACCCTGCACTATTTGCATCTTGGATTCAGTGGAGTGTGAGTCCTACAGCTATTGTCATCTCAGTAGGGCACCTCCATGGCAAGTCTTGGTCCGAATCCCAAACGCTTTAGACACCAACAATGCCCAGCAAGCTCTTCCTTAGGCTGTACCCATGACTGCTCAAAATAAAAAGCTCCTGTGGAAGGAACCTTACTCTTAGTGGAACTGTAATGAATGCAATGTATCTAGCAGCGTACTGACGGTTTAGGACAATTCACAGATCCGGGCTCTGCCATCTCCAATGGCGCTCACGCTGGTGTATGGGAACAAGCAGAAACTAATTAGACTCCAAACTCACACCTGCTGCTGGTCTGGATACAGAGGAAACTCGGGTGCTACGGGTGCAAAAGCAGTCTCTCATAGCCGGTGCAACTACTTTCCAAACCCAGCACCCGGGCTGGGGAAGTGGCTCCGTGGTGCAGCTCTTGCCTGGCATACACAAGGCCCCTAGTTTGATGCCTTGTGCACACACACACACACACACACCACTTGATAAATATGACCAATTAAGTTGCACAACATACACTTTTCATTTTTATGAAACTGTAGAGCCACAGACAGCAGTGTGCATCTCCGGACTCTCAGATACTTAGCAAGAGGGGCATTAAAAACTTCCTTCAATCACACAGGCCTCAGGTATGCTCAGCTTTGAGACAGAAGGCCGAAGTCTAATCCCATCACATGTTATTTATGGATCACGTAGAATGAGACAAATGAAAAATTTCAGAATCCTTCTGTATATAAATTTAACAATTCACTCCATGGGAGAGCGGAGTTTACCTGCTAGAGTTTAACAATGCATTGAAGATGGGAACATGGGTGAATGCTGGCCACCTTCTACTGCCTAATCCTTTACCATCACTAAGAAATTCACAGACTGCCCTAATGCAGGAAGGTCAGGGACATAAAATGTCGTGCAGACTTCATGAAAATGTCTACATTCATTTTCTAGGTGGCTTCAAATTGTGGCAGAGACGGAAGCTAAAATAAGCAGTGCAGTCACTAGGAAAACGAGATGAGCTTTCAGGGTTCTCTCATCATCTATGAAACGTGCAGCGGAAGGATTTGAGGAACGCCTCCCACAGAGTCTTCTCCAGGGCAATTGGGTCATTTATATTGTTGCTTCAGCATTTATCGCTAAGGGAAATGTCTAATTGAAACCAATAACATTATATGATGAGAGTGCCGCACCGTTACTCTGTAAATGTGGGTCACCTCTCAGACAGGGCACAAAATTTGCATGGCCACCTAGGAAGGGCTCAGCAGAAGTTTTAAAATGGAGCCTGCAAGACTCACACTGCCGTGCACACCGGGGATCTTTGCTGTGGAACATTATAGATGCAACTGCGTCTAAGTCCGCCCAGTTATTTCTTCTACAGATTCACAGGCAAGATCTTTACCAATGTTTAGGGTTGATGGTGTCATCACATGCCATGTGTGCTGCCTCTCTCTGTACAGAACCCACAGACCAAGACTGCTGTATTTCCCCTCAGAGATTAAAGTTTGACAAACTGAGGGGCCATCGGATGGATGGTAGAGAGCACGCAATGTTCACGTGACTCACAGAAACGTAACTAGCTGAGTTACATGTCCTGCGACACGCTTCTCAACTCCATCACTCATATCCATCAAAGTAAATTATCCACTTAAAAGAGAAAAGCCTCCTATTAGAATAATTACTCTATTTCAAAAGATGGTACCTGAATTGGATCAAGGCTTAAGGAGACAGAATCCCCTGCCTATGCTTTGGTATCTCATTCATTAAATAAAAAACATATTTCATTTTCTCCAACTTTGGCATGACGCTTGGCTCTAAGCTATTATGTGAGAATGCACTGGTCCAAGGAAGTGTCTATGATGGGAGGAGATTTAATCTGACCCCTAAATCGGAGAGTTAGGCAGAGATGCATGAGGAGGCCCCAGGCAGAAATGAGGGCCCTGGTGTCACTGCAGACTGCAGTGACGTGTAGGCCTGGGAGTCAGAGGGAAGAGGCAGGAAGGTCCGGTGGAGATGTGTGGTGTGCTTCTCCCCTAGAAGTCCATGTTTAATGCTCTGTGAATGGAGAGTGATGCTGAATGTGGGCAAAGAATATTCATCTGCCACAGGTGACTGATTTGTGAGGACATGAAGGAGACAGGCTCCCAGCAGAGCCTGGTCCGAAGCCTGCTACACATTCAAGAGGGCAGACAGCTTCCCAAAGGCAGCCTGGGCATCAGCAGTCCTGTCCATTATCAACGATGCATAAGCAAGGTCAGAAGGACGCAGCATTTCGAGTACTCTGTTCATGTCAGCAAAATGACACATCCTCCCTACCCACCTTTGCATGAGTTTATCCAAAAACTGAAACAAGCGACCCATTTATGTATGTAAAGACTGTGTAAACCAGAGTGAAATGCGTAAAGATTGAAGATAAGAGTCAGTGGATGGAAGAAGTAAAATAGTTGAAGCTGTCATCAAGGTGTTTCTCCAGAAAATGCCTGGTGTGGAATCCCAGCACACTGGGAGGCTGAGGCAAGAGGATCAGGAGTTCAAGCCCAACCCGGGCAACTTCTGAACTTGGCAGCCTCACTCAGTCTTAGTAAAAATTTTTTTAAAAAGTTTAAAAAAAGGAGCTGTAGCCTAGAGAGAAGATCTCTGGTTCAATCCCCAGTACTAAGAAAACAAAGACAAAACAACAGAAAATTGAGGAAGGACAGCATGTGTTCCACGAGGACAGAAGACACGTTCACTCTCTCCTCCTCTTCTCCATCTACTTTGCCACCCGAGGCTGCAAGAGTGACAGGTTCTGAAGATAACAATATCACAGCTCCAGGGCTACACTAGCACTCTAAGGGCCCTTAAAGGGAGCTGGGTGACAAAAAGAAATAGTTGGGGGCACCATAGCCTGTGGATCAGGCTAGGTAACAGTGTATCTAAATATGTAATCAGAGACCTCCATCCCTGCATGATGCAACAGAAAAGCTGGACATTGGTACAGTACATGACTCTCACAGGATGAAAGGGATTGCAAAGTTATAACTCCTTCAGTTTCTTTGTATTGACATTCATCAACTATTTCCACATTCGTAGAGTACCTGCCCAGTGACACTGTCTTACGAGCTCAGATGGAGCCAAAGCCAAGCAGGCAGCAGCCCCTGCTGTCTTGGAACCTCCCAGTGACAAGAGGACAGAAAGGCCCCCAGGGAGGGGCACAGGTGTCCACGGGGGCCACAGGGGCTCACCCAGGGTGTGGGAGAGCCTGAGCGACACTTGGACCGCTGAGCCCGAGGCGGGTGGTGGTGGCAGACTCCGCTTTCACCGAGTGAGGGCAAACTGATGCAGGTGGGTGAGAAGAAAGAAAGAACGTGACTGGAGGGTCGGGACCCTTCTTTTCATGTGTTAAAAGCAGACCTGGAGAAAGAGCCAGCGCTGCAGGCGCAAGCTAGGACCCTAGCAGGGGCGAAGCCCTCTACCACTTCTCTTCTCTCTGAAATGGACACAAAGACCTCCCCTGAGAGGAGGGAGGCTGAGAGAGTGGTACAGGGTGCAGAGCAGGGATGTCGTGGTCATCTAGGAATGCAGACTGCATTGCAGCCTGGGGTGTGTGGCAGCACTGAGGTCACGTGTGGCTGAGGTCATGGATGTGTGGCACTACACGAGTCGGTGCTTTCCCCAGCTGCCTTTAGTGTGGTGTTGGTGACCACGGGAACGGAACGAGGTCAGACTGCCAAACCCGGGGATTTTGAAGGTACCCAGTGGTATGTGCAGAGAGTGTACCCAAGACCAGACGACTTCTGCAGAACCAAGAGGGGCGTGCGGGAGTGAAGAGGGAGGAGAAATGGACACGCAGAAGGGATGGCGGATTCACGCCTCGGGGGGTCAAAGGACCGTCGTTGGGTTCCTCAGAGGCAAGAGAAAGCTGAAGTGCAGTAACTCAGGATGCGGACGAGGAGCTCTCCAGTGAAGAGTACAAGGCTGTCACAGGCCACTCAGGCAGAGCTGAGGAGCATGCCTGACACAGGGACGACAGAAGGGGAGGCCCAAAGCAGAAGCAGGTGGCGCAACAGTAGCTATGCCAGCGGTGCCTAGGCACCATCCACGGGCCGGCCCACTTGCAAACTGCCTCTGAGTAGGGACCCCCCAACACGCCACCATGGAAAAAGGCAGACGCTGAGAGTGGGCACCTAGAAAACTCTACGGCCACTTGGCACACTACATCTACTTCTGTGAAATCTAATAAAAATTTTGAGCTTTTGCTTTTAAACTTTGAAAATTCATTTCAGTAACTTGTCTTTTGTTTCACAACAGTGTGAGTGCATCCTGGGAATCTGGGGGACCTCAGTCTGTGTGCACGTGGGCGGAGTGGCAAGGAGCCAGTCCTCTGGCCCTGAGAGGAGCCCTGGTCACAAGGAAGAGCAGCAGTGCGAGGCGTGGTACCATCTGACTCCAAGATGGAAGTGCTGAGGAGGAGAAGAGGACTTCCACAGAGAAGACCGCACTCGTGCAAGCGCTGGTGTCACGAGGACGTGGGAAGAGGCCCACAGCGACAGCCCTGAGGCTGGAGGACCGGGAAGAGTGCAGAGGAAATGCGCAGAGGGCCCGAAGAGATGGAGGTAACTTCTAGGACCTCCCAGGGCTGGGCTCCCCGGCTTCCAGGGTTCAGCCAGCGGGGTGCACGCGGACCTTGAGCGCCCCTGGGCAGTGCTAATGACCAGCTGACTTTCCCATCAGATGCCACCAGGAGGGAAGAAGCTGGGTGTCAGGTGAATTGGCAGCACAGAGACAATAATGTAGACTAAGTGACAGCTTAACATAGGAGTCAGTGGCCGTGACAAGTAGTTTCGGAGACTGTCTAGGCTTTGGACGAGTGTGATTATATTGAACATTTGGTTATACATCACATATGTTTTTATTTCTAAATTCTACACTGGTATCTTTTCCCCACCCTCTTCATTCTGAAAATCAGGCTCTCTAACTGAAACATATCTTTAAGGTGGACAAGGTTGTTTTCTCTCAAAAGTAAAATTGAAAAAGCTTAGGAAAACGCAGACGTTGTCACCCACAGGGGAAACGGGTCCTGCAGGTCAGTGCACGCAGGAACCTGGTTACCTGTAATCCGTCCCATTCACTGGGGTCCACGTGTAGGTCCTGTTGCCTTTGTCGATGTATCTCTAGAAGCAAGTTCGACAGGCTGTTATTATCGCTTCATACGTGTGTAAAACTGTAGCGAGAGACTCTGCAGCGCAATGAACGTTCAGTAGGGCACCCGCTCCTCAAATGCCGGCTATGTTCTAGTCTACATTCATTTATTCTGCTATGGATGCGTGTACCAAAACTTAGGACAGGACAAGTACACAAATAATGAAATGAAGGCGCGTATCAGCAGAAACTCTTCGCTGACAGCATTCCAAATTGACAGCACGTATTGCCAAGCGGCACCCTCAAAGCTTAGAGAGCATTTCCTGCACACCGAATTTTAATAATGAAATCGGACTAGGAACTCTTAGACAAGGCTCAGACATTTCTGTTTTCAATTACATTTAAGAGAGATTAAGAATGTCAGGAAGCGAGTGCCATCAGTGTGACCAGGCGCACACGTGACTGTCTCTGTCCTGCTCTGACTAAAGGTTTATTAAAGCATCATGAGGGGCTTCATTATGCAGCGGCATCTTGTTCGGTGAAGCCCTTAGAGCAGACTTCCCGAACTTGTTGATGAGAAAATAAGACTTAAAGAGGATGTCAGGTACAGAAAATTTCAAGGTAAACAGAAATGACAAATTCAGTCTTAGAGTAACTATGCAGTGCTGTTTGTGTGCATGGAACTCCCTCTGACCACGCGTGCAGCGGACAGAGAGATCAGGCGGGGTGAGGTGGTGTTGGGACTTGCAAGACCCCTTAAAGAATAACTCTTGGCAAATTAGCATCATTCAACTAGTTACAAAAGCTATCAAAATCATATCGGATTAGGGAAATAAAAATATGACGTTACTTTTTTAATATTAGCAGAAGGAACGACCACGCTCACGGGTTTTTAATTTGTAATGAAACAACCATACACACTTCCAGACACAGTTACCACCTAGTTATTTAGTATATTTATTTTCCAACTTCTGACTAAGCTCAAAGATATTCCCATTAATTTTTTGAGGAATTCTTATAGTTTTGTGGATTTTTTTTTTTTTTTTTCTTCTAGAGACAGTTTCTTCCTATGCAGCCCAGGTTGGCCTCACCTTCTCGAGTGCTGGGATTATAGCCATGCACCACCATGCCCGGGTATGTTTGTAAGTATATTTATTACCAACATTTTCAGGAAACATCTACATGAAATAGAATTACATTCTTTTTTTAAAAAAAATTTATTTGTGTGTGTGTGTGTGTGTATGTGTGTGTGTGGCCAGCTCAGCCCACCAGGGGGCGGGGCTGGCTGGCATGTGGTGCTGGGGGATTGAACCGGTCCCTGTGCTTTGCTAAGCTTGTTCTAAGTAGGTGCTTTAGACCACTGAGCCATCTCTCCAGCCCCTAGAATTACATTCTTATTGTAAACCAAAGTAGGTAGTTATAAACAGAGGGTTACTGATGGGGTATATGTAATCAGCATAACTATTCTCAGATTTTGGCAAATAGGATTCACTTGGCATAATAATTTTAATTAGTAGTAACTCCATAAAATTATCAGTAGGAAAACAGGAGACTGCTTGGGCTGGGGAGATGGCTCAGTGGTCTAAGTGCCCACCTGGCAAGCACAAGGACCTAGGTTCGATTCCTGGTACCACATGTTGTGTTGGCCCTAGAAGGTGCTGGGTGTGGTGGCACGTGTCTGTAATCCCAAGACTGGAGAGTCTGGGACAGGAGAATCACTATGAGTCCCAGCTGCAGAGCGAGACCCTACACCAAATAAACACTTAAAGAAAAAATAAAATGAGAGGCTGTTCATAGGCACTAAATTTGTGATCACATATCATTTTCTTATGGCTTCTATGCATTCATTTTTTTGCTGAATAATTAGGTTCCTGAAAGATCTGACCATGAAAAAAGTTTAGTTTGACAAGATCCTGAGCATTCAGAGAGGCATGGCCCTAGACACAAGCTGATTTGATACAAGCTTTGGTGAAAAAGTATTCGGTGAGCCCGATGCGCAGAGAGGCTCCGTGGGAGCACTTCATGAGTGAAGCTGAAAGGGGCGCAAACTCCTGTGTCAAGCACTGAGAAATGCCCTGGCTTCGCTGCTGCCCATCTCGCAGGCACACACAGTTCATGATTTCCTGCAACAAAAATAATGGACTTCGTAGACAACGTCTGGGCTTGACATACAGGACTCAGACACCATGGGTAGGTTTAAAACACACAGCACTGCAACAGGAGGATACTGCACCTGAAACATTCATGCCAAACCCCATACCTAGCAAGATAAATGTAATTTTCTATAATACATAATTTTAAAATCTAAATAATAAGTACAATATTGTAATTGTTTTGATTATTACTAAACAATAAAGACTGGAATTTATGTGTGGCTCCTCTATGTTCTGGCAGTCCGTACAGGGGTTCCTCAGTTCATGAGCTTAATTCTTTCATGATTATGGTGGCAAAGCAACTGGCTGAAATCTGAATCAAATTTTCCCATGCGCTCAACACTGAACCTAACTGCTGAATTTCTAATAATGGTATTAAATGGAAGAGCTACCTGCTAGTGAGGATCTTGCTTCTATCCACTGTCTACTATAGGAGGAGGTCTGCCAAGGAATTCATGAGAAGAACATGTATTGAAATAGGATAGTACTGAAGGGAAGGACATAAGTAGCCCTATTTATAAAATCTGAAATTTCCAGGAACAGAACTTCTGAGTCCTATATATTTTCAAACACTAAGCATGTGAGTGTCTGTTTTGACTCTACGGTGGCCAATGCTCAGCAGATGCATTCCCCAAAGACACTTTACAAGCAAACATGAAACCGATTTATTATATAAGCCAGTGCCTAGTGGGGCAGTTGTGTTACCAGATGGCTTAATTTCAAATTTAAATGCAGGAAAATTATAAAATGTATAAACATTTAAAGAAGATAAGTCAAATAAGAATCAATTAAACAAAAAATTTTTAAAAAGACAAAATAATATGTGGAGCAGAACAATCAGAATACAAATGCACACACCATGCAACACACATAGCTATTAAATATAAACCACAGTATTTCATCATTGCCATTGTATAAAGCATGGCATAAAATTATATGATATATTCAAATGCTTACAATAAGACAAAGACATAACTTTCAAGTATAATTCTTTAAAAAATATATTGCTTATAAACTAGCACATCAAGGAACCTAAAGCATTATTTTTATAAAAATGAAAACACTAAAAATATCTCAGTGAAACTTTTTTCTACTCAAGAATTGTCTTAAAAATAAAGAAAAATTGTTCACTAGAGACATATCTATTCTGTGAGTAAGTGCAGCATTAGCGGAGAGTGAAGATAAATTAGCAGTGTCACTTATTCTTAATGATCCTTGTACCTAAGAATGAACATGAATTAATTCTTACTTACCTCATCTTGAGATTTCACTAGAGTTCTGAAGGTTTTTTCTCCACTTTCTCCATCTATCATTTTATTGCGAATCTAAGGGAAAATGAAATAGCTACTTTATCCTAGGAGCCAAATTCGCCCACTAATGTGTGATGACATTGTTATTTTTCAAAGCTTTCCTTGCTTTAAACACACTGACTCAGTACAGAGGGTTGATTTTAATAGCAATTGGAATGTTCTCTGGGATTGATATAAGTTGCCTCATTATAGTAATTTTAAATTATTATAAACACCCTCGATTAGCCTTTTCAGTCAGTCATTAATCTCTGAAATATAATTAGTAAAAATTAGTCAGTAGACTTATAGACTAGGTATATTTAACTGAAAAGTAACCACTGAGAACTCAAAATACATCCTTCTATCTCTAAGTTGAGGGGCTTTGAGAGGCTAGCTGATCTCCTTATGGAGACCCCTGGGGGTCGATCTACTCCCTGTTACTTTATACTCTTTTACTATATCACATACTTTACAGCAGATATTCACCGCCACCTAAAACAACCTGGAACTGGGCCACAGTCTCAAAGTACTTGCAATAAGTCATCAAATTCTATAGAATACAGTGAGAAAATGTGTAAAATCTGCAAATCAAGTATAAGTCAAAATAAAGTGTGACCAATTATAAAAGAAATACAGCAGCCTTTGCACATATAAAATGAGTTAATTCATCTGGGAAAATTCTAAAAATACGCGTCTAGCACAAGAGGGGCTGCTTTGTCCCTCACTGTCTGAGTGAGCAGCACAAGCCAACTTCTCCACTTCCACCATGCCATCGGCACAACACACAGGGCAACCCCCATGTCCAACACACCACGCCCTCAGCAGATGCTCCTGCACTATTAATCATCATCTTCAGTGTTATGGAAGACCCTCTCACACGAGGTGGAATGCGACTGTTTTGCCATCGTTGTTCCATCAAGAGTCCCGAGACAACATGGCGGCCACTTTCCTCATGTTGCTCTTCTCTGGTTTCACGGCTGGAGCCATAGCAGCCTTTAACTGCCTGAGGAGACCCATCTTTGAGATTGCCATGGTCACTCACAAGTACATTTTGAACTGCAACAGTTAAGCTAGCTTTGTGAGCAGAAAGCGAAAGACCACAATCAGGCTGGAGAGAGAACTCGGCGTCTAAGTGCCTGCTGCCAATGCAAGGACTCGGGTTTGCTCCCAGGTACTGAGGACACAGGGCGTGGTGGTGCGCTCCTGCAATCCCAGCGCTGGAGAGGCTGAGACAGAAGGGTCACTACAAGTCCTAGCTGCACAGAGACCCTGTACCCAATAAATAAGTAAAAAGTAAAAAGAAGAAAAATAAAGACCACACTCTATTTGATTAGTCACTCCCTGTCCTGTACTTCTGGAAGAGAAGAGCCCAGCGTGAACGCCCACGTGTGCTTGTGCAGTATGGACGGACAAGCCAACACACGGTGGCCGCCGGGCAGAAGAATCCCGGCCTCAGACCCCGCGCTTGTTTCCCACACACACTCACCTCCACTTTCATGTCATTCTCCAGCTCTGCATCCAGGAAATCCAGAGTCACGGGCTCCTGAGATTTGGGGTTCTACACGGAAGGCAGAGGTAAGGAAGCATCACACAATCAGTCAGCCACGCACAGAGTGATGCAATCAGTACTTAAATATGAAATCAATGCTGTAAAAATTAGCAATTCACATGAATTGTATAAATATATAACTATAAATACATATATGTACGAGAGTAGAGAGTTGAAACTAAAGATGGAGCTTCCACTGCAGCAAATACTAACTAATCACCAATTGAAAAAAAATCTCATTTCAAATGCTGTTTTCGACTCTGCATTTACACCCACAGTTTTATGGGGCTTTTGAAGAGCCCTTCACAACTGTCCTTTACCAGCATGACAAAAGGCCAAATACAGCTGTGTGACTGCAAAACTAGTGCAACCCACGAGCATGGAAGTTGTAATTTCAATAACAATATAAGTAAGGAAAATACTTTCAGAATCATGTTTGGAGATTGTGAAAAGCAAAACAAACTTTGAGAACTACGCTTCCTTCTGAAAACATAGAAGGCAAAGAGAGAGGCAGCTCTAGTTTACACATTGGAATCTCAGAAATGTTCAGCTTTATTGATTCCTATTAATTCAAAACCCTACGCTCTGCATACAATGAAATTTGTGAGCAAGTCACCTGCAATAAAACCCAGGTGTTGTGGTTAAAGTCCAACAAGAGTCACAAGCCTGTGGGCACTGAACCCCGCTCCTGCTCTGAGTCCCCAGTTTCTTCTGGTTGGAGCACAATAAAAGTTCACTGTGGGACAAGACTGAGCCCTTGCAGTTGTGTCACACGATGTATTAGCCTAGCAGATACACCTCATGTGAAATGTTTTTAGGTGTATTTTAATTTTTCAATTACAAAATGAAGATGCACTGGACTGTTTGACAAGTGAATAACATATATTCATTGCCTTATGGGTTGCACTACAATTTAACAGTTCGCTAGACTAAAAACTGCAGTAGATATGTCATTTTCCAATTGCAAAATGTTAGAAGTTAGATATTAAAATATTTATTAAAATAAATATTACCCAAATGTGACAATTACATAGTGGTAATAAATGCAGAACTATGGTGGATGAGTGCAAGATTTATCAGAATTTTACTAGGAATAGCTCCTAAATATGTCCAGATCATCTGTATTTCCAATTCCATTTGAAGAGAACAGACTTCCCAATACAACGATAGCTAAAATATATTGAAATTAAGCATTTCCTATTTGTATCCTGCATATTTTAGTTTTTTTTTTCTTTGTATTTTAGGGAAGGGTCTACAGGATGTTCAGGGTCTCACTATTAATTGGACTCACAGTGCTCTGCCTGTTTACAGCCTCCCAAGAGCTGGGATTACAGGTGTGCGCCACCACGCCCAGTCTCAATTGCTGTCTCGGTGCGTCCCGGGGGCGTGACCGATGTGGCAGGCCTGGGGATTGTACCACCAGCCCCTGTGCCTGCTTGCAGGCACTTTAATCTGCTGAGCTGTTTGGCCAGCCCTTATGTTTTAGTGTTTACGGCATGAAGTTAGTTTATAATTATAGTAAAATGCCTTCCTTCAAAGAGTACCTCCATTTACATAATGGAAACTTTTAATTCTCATGGATTTTGATGAATCTTAAAGTCAACTAAAAATAATTGTACTTGTCTATTTTAATTAAAATGTTTCACTTGTCTTTTTTAGTTAAAATAGTTGTATCATAAGAAGAATCTATAATACTGCAAATAAGTATTAGATTTTTCCGAAGACATAAACACTGAGCATTCAGAGGAAGGGTCATTTAGATGGAAATACTCATTTGCGATACAGCGTGTTTCCTGAGAAAATACAAGCCTCTGTCGAACTTCCTACAGTCCCTTCATTTATAAACTTAGAAAATCATTAAGGGAGGGACAGTCTACTATTTCAGAATTGCTTAAAGTCTCATAAAATAAAACATTTCCCACAGGCCATATAACACCAACAGTACAAATAACAAATGTAAAAAACAAGGTCAAAATAACCAAAATGATAAGACAAAACCAAAATAAGGATATTTGGCTTGCATGCAATGGACAACCCATAGCATGCCCAGATGCAAACGGCATGCAGGGAGGAGGCATTATTGGGAGGAAGTGGCAGCGCGGGGCGCATGTCCCAATCCAGCATACAGAGACACAGAGGAGAGACTGGAACCAGGAAGGAAAACTCAAAGCACAACTTGTACCCTAAATGGCAACCCAGAGACCACTTTCATGAAGGACAAAGACAATGAAAAATAAAAAACCAGGCTTAAGGAAAGAAAAATTTGTTGCCTACAGCCTGTGGGCTCATTATGGTTTTGAAATTCCTTTTTGAGCTTTTTCAATATTATTCCTTTCCAGGTTTTAGCACTACATGGCAGCAGGTATCATGGCCACCTTTCTTGGGGCTGAGCCAATTCTTGTCCCTTCCTCCCGTTTCTTCCATCTCTTGGTCTTCTTTTTGCAAAAGATCTAGCTCCCTTTGTCCTATCATCTGTCCATTATTTTGTCTTTTCCTATATTTTGAGTCTCTCATATTAGAGAAATGATGTGATATTCAAGCTTGTGTGTCTAATTTATTTGACTTATGGTCCCAGTGCGCATGCAGTGACTCCCAGATTAATCAAATTTATCCTTCTTTATAGCAGAGTGGTTCTCCTTTGCGTCCAATGTGTACTACATACTTTTATCCAAGTTTACTTAACATTCCTTACTACAAAGTTTGGATGTCAACTGAAACAATGATGAAATCATTTGTTCCAATGAAAGGCAAAAATGCAATGACAAATTTAGATTTGAAATAATTAAGTCAGTGTCCTTGTAATACTTAGTACTTCAGAAATACTACCCCAACTGATATTATGTGGTTGCTAGTTTGCCATTTGGGGTTTCCTTAGAATGAAAACAAAAATAAAATAAAGCATTATATGGGTTCTTTATTTTTTATTATATCATAATTGTCACATGCAATATTTGATGAGGATACAAAAAAAGAAACACTAAAATTCACATTACTGCAGAATGGTATAATTTAAGGTAATACATTAAAAACACCATGCATGGAGAGCAACAAAAGTTTAAGAAGGACTATACAGGATTTTAATCTCTACAGGAGTCATAAGACCTGAAGCTTTCACACAGACCAGCAAGGGATTCAGATCATCACAGAGGTTCTAAGCCAGAAGGGACTAATGCGTCCTCTTGGTTGGACTTGGTACTTTAAGAAGAACTTCAAAGCTTTAATAATGATTCAGGAGGCAAATTAACTTAGAATTTGTGGGAGATGGGGTCTGAAATTCGCACACATATTTGTACTGGGGGTGAGAACAGGTCATTCACCTCTGCTTTCCAAGTGAAGACGTGGACCTACTGCAACTAGGCTCAGGATCAGGTCAAGGTACAAGTCTGCTTCTAGGAGAACCAAACAAGAGTTCGGCAAGAAGCGAGGCCTCAGCATTTCTTGGCATTGTACTACATCTGCTAGGCTTCCAACAACTTTTTTCTTAGGAAATGGGAGGCTTACATAGGAATCTTATATAAAGCTGAACTTGCTTTGAAATTCTGAAATCATTTCTAATCTGCAGAAAGTATCTTTTTAGGCTGATTTGTACCTACAGAAGTATGGGTACATCCAGTAACTTCTACATGTTATTGCCAATGGAGAAAAAGGTTTGTAATGAGTCAGGCAGTAAAAATGCATAGTATTTATATGCTATTATCAATAATGCTGATTTACTGTGAAGATATTTCTTTAGTTGTGCTTGTGGAAACTGAAGGAGATTTTGGCTTAAAATTCCTAACTTATGGAAGTTACCACATTGAAATTGTATTTTTACCTGCACTTAGAAGGCAAATTAACCAGCAAATTGCTAGAATCACCCGAATTGATGTGAATTTTACGGTATTTATTAGCAGATTTCTCTTAGAAGCCATCTCACCGTGACTGCCGATTGTTAGGATGATCACACAGTTTCACAGCGGTCTTTGGTTAGCGAACACACACACTCCCGTCCTTTAGCACCTTTTGGCTTCAGTTTATTGGGAGCTGATGCTGGTCCCACCGCATGCTCTGGAGGCTTGCGGTCAGGACAGGCAGCTTTAACTGTAAGCTCTAAGAGCGGAAGCTTGATCTCAAGTCTGATTTAGCAAATCTGAAAGCACCACCCTCACTCAGTTACCTGCACGTTGGGTCTTCTTTGTCTCAGATTAACTGTTGGGATACCCACACCAATAGGCTGGAGTGACAGAGAAATGGTAACCCGTCACATCACTTGTGACACAGGGATGCTTTCGGGGTCAGCTATGTGCTTGATCAGAAACAGATATAACCAGCGTACTCAGATTTCAAAAGATGTGGTATCACATAAAGTTCATGATGAATAAGTTTGTTAAAATGAAAAGTTTAAAACCATTTTTAGTGAATAAAAATGTTACATTAGTAAAAAGCATTTCTAGAGAGACATGACTGTTATTTTGGTATTTTTCTAGTAATGTATTTGAGGAAGTATGAGAGATATATTGTCTCTAATGAAATTTCTACTTTAATGAGAGAGAGAGAAAAAAAGAGAGAGAGAAGGAAGGCATGAAGGGGAGAAAAGGAGATGGCAAGGGAGGGAGAGAGATTGAGAAACGGGTTGCTACATGTACAGGAAATAAATGTGTAAAATGTGACTACTGCAATGTCCTCCCGAGCTTCCTGTGGTGCCAGCCGCATCCTGTAGAGGTGACAGCCTAGAGGACACAATTCCTGAGCAAGCACACACCCCACTGAGGGGATCTGCACCCAAGGGAACATGCAGGAAGCTTGGGGTGGGGCCAGCAGTACAGGGCTTGCGTACTGTGCACAAGGCCCTGAGTTCAAGCCCCAGGGCCACACAGGAACAGTGAAAATCAAACTGAAACCAAAGGAACAAAAAACCAGCTGGAGAGGGAGCCAGCCCCGGCCCCCTTCGCCTCACTACTCCGTGAGGTCACAGAGAGGAGCTGGCGGCCTACAGTGCCTGGGAACCGCGAGAAGACAGCTGTGCATCTATGGACACCTCTGTATTCTTCCTCTGGTTTGCTGCCTTGTCACAGCCACCTCCACAGATTAAGCAACTATTCTAGGACATGAAAAAGTTAACAGCATCCCAGTGCGCTCCTTTGTGTCCTGCAGGGATCTCACATGAGGTACTGAACGAAAGGCAAGCTCTACTCTAACACTGTTGACTTATTTTAATGTTGTCTTCTAAAACAAAGATGACTCGTAATTTTCTATTCAATAAATACGTATGTCAGAATTGGTCAAAATGGCATGCCTAGTCAATAGACCTGGCTATTTTAATGAAAAAGGGCAGAAATATAAAATGCACTTTGAGATAAGCCAGGAGACATACTATCATGCTATTCAAAATGTAGCCCTGTGGGTAACAGGCTCTGTGGATAAGCCAACGATTCCTTAGAGCTCGGTGTGCAAACAGCTCAGTTACGTCATTTACTGATGTCCTGGGCTTGCTAAAGAGCACTTGGGTTGTTTTACACAAAACACAACATGGTAATGAAATATTTTAAAATAAGATTATAATAGCAGTAAGAAAATATGAGATATTGAACAAGGTGTATATATTTGCATAAATTGCATTTTCACCTTGTTAGATGATAATGAATACTATAGACGTAGAAGTATTGTCTTTTATTTTTATTGATGAATTACTGATGGAAGAATAATTTTACTAGCACGCATCTGCTGCTGCTCTGACACTCCCTCAGCTTCCCAGCCACTTTTGTCACCTCTCAGGACACTCTTGTATGAACCCGCACAGCTTGCACTTTTCCGTGGGACAGACGTCGCGGCATTTACTGTGATGGAAATTTTGATGATGAAAATTCCACGCGAGTTTTAGAATGAAGTGGCACATTGATTACGCAGACTTGTTTTCTTTGGGTCATCTGCAGACAGTATGCTTTGCAGTGTCTTTTTGTTACATGCTTTTTTAAAACAAAATCTACACTAAAATAGGAAAAGTTAATTTAAGCTAGCCTTTCTTAAATATCTCTACAATTCTGTATTTTTCTTGTTATTTTATGAATTTAGTGCACTGACTACCCCAGTAACAAGGGAAATATATATATATATTTGCGGAACCGGGGATTGAACTCAGGCCCTTGCGCTTGCCAGGGAAGCGCTTATTCCACTGAGCCATCTCCCTGGCCGGGAAATATATACTGACATAATAGAAACTAATAAAATATTTTCTATGTAAATACTTGTCATTAGGAGAAGGTAAAGGGGAACATCTTCTTCAGATGATTAGCTTTTTCACCATGAAAACAATCCAAGCTGCTATTACCACTGGACGATAGCTTTAATTACAATCCCTCCACTGAATATGTAATTCTCTCATTATTAATCTTTGTCTATGATACATTTTAGTTCATTTAGGGGAAGAATAAGGTCTACAACCAGAAATGTAGGGATCTTCTGCACATTTTAGCCATTACATTTCATTGCTCTTAGATTACTCAGGAGGATGTAATTTAAAATACTTTCAATATACAAAGACAAAGAATAATGCAAAAATGTAAGCTTTGTTTGGCATTTAAAAATATGAATGTTTTCAACTATGGTGTACATTCTAGGCTGGTTAGCTGGTCATAAGCAACTGCTTACATGAAGGGGACGCAGCACAGCCTGCGGTCCAGGACTCTGCGAGCGGAGCCTAGAGCAGCCGGGCTGCACTTCTGTGAGGGCAACACACTTGAAAATGATGGAGCGTTAGCAGCAGCTTCATTTGCTAAGCACATCTTTATACCCCAGTTGACTGTGAGGGACGATAAGCCCCAAAGCAGGAAGAATTAAATTAGGGAAGATAATGTATTTTCTAAGAATTAAATTAGGGAAGTTAACATATTTTCCTTTTTCTTTTTGGTATCAGGCATTGAACTCAGGACTTTGTGCTTGCCAGGCAGGCGTTCATCCCACTGAGCTATTTCCTTGGCCAGAAGTTCATTATCATGCATAATCTTATCTAGCATGTATTAAATAATTTATTTCATTTAATATGGTTTTACAATTAGTATCAGTGGCTCTTAAGTACTGATTTGAACAACACTTAAATGACACAGGTTCACAAGTGTGTGAGCGTGTGTGTGTGTGTGCATGTGAGTGTGGGGGGGTTGCGTGTTAACATAACTAACACTGCAAACCATCACCAGAGAGCAAGGCCAGGCCTAAGTATGGAGGCTTGGGGTAAAATATCTCCAAAGTTAAAACAAGAACATAAAGATGTTTATAAAATAGCAATTATATAGGATTTTGTCTAATTTCAGAATCAGCTGGGTACATGTGGCCACTAATGCCTTGTTAAGAACTAGTGGAAAGAAAGTGGGAGGAGCTGAAGGTGATATGGCGTGGAAATATGGAAACACTCTGCACCTCTGGAGGACGGGCATACAGGCGAGGGCCACACGGCTGCTCCGTGGAATGTTACTGCTTCCAGAAAATTCCGCTGAGGAAGTCCCAGTCCACATCTGAAGCTCACCACATAGACTCTGCTCACTAGCATGGGGCCTGCCTTTCCACGCCCGCCCCCGAGGGGAGAGGAACCCTGGGACAGGGAGGAGATGAGCTCCAGGAGAGAGGCACAGCCGTGGGGGACGTGGCCACACACAGAGCGGTCCCCAGCTACAACCAAGGCAGCAAGTGGGGTTAATGCAAACAAAGCCCAAGATGTGACAAGGGCAATGTTTGCAACAACAGCATTAGCTCAGCTAACTGGTGAAGAATCCTAAAATCTTTTTACACACTTTGGTGTATTACCAACTCTAGTCTTGCCATCAAGGAAAGGGCCACACTGCAGACTGTCCCTCTGTACTTAATGCTATAAAGTAATCTTAAAAGGACAACCTAATAAGCACATTAACCCCTAATTTTACAAAGTACAATTCACTGTGAACACATTATATACATACCTTTGGCTGAAGATTTGGATGTAGCAAAACATATCCATTAGGATCAATAGCAAAATAATAGCCATTGGGGCACAGCTGGAAAAAAGACCAGAAAGCATTTAGGGCATCCTGACTCACAATCAGAATAGCACTAGTTCTTTAAAAAATCTTTTGCTAAATTATTTATTAACACATTGTATCGCATGCAACATGGCATCCTTACATTTCATTTTATTAACATGATTTTTTGTTAAGGCTACTGCACGTAATTCCTCAGAATGGGTTACATGCTTTATGGACAAGCTGAAGCAGCAGCCAGTTCCGAGCTAGGAAGGGACGGTGGGAGAGTGACTGATCTTACTGTGAAGCGCGGCGTCAGCCTCTTAATGTCCTCCAGGGAGACATCGACGCCCATCACCCCCAGGATCAGCTGGTTCTGTGGCGAGGAGGCAAGGAGATGGCGCGCATAAGACTGAGGTCTACCGGTTTCCACAGTTACTGTGTACGTTTGCCATCTTCCTGCAGTAACGGCTCTAGTTCAGAGTAGCTTAAATATTTGTATGAAGATGACGTACGTTTGTTGTCAATTTAAAAGGATTGTCAGCTCTGTTTTCTGTAATTTTATCACCATTGCTATTTATTTGTATGAAATCTTGATGAGTTTAAAATATGATATATACGAAATTTGAACTCAACCTGTGAAACTTAAGTACTTAATGAAACTGTATCTCAATGTAAAATTTTTGAACACATAAGAAAAGGATTTAGACAACAGCCTCCTTGAGTTCCAATACTCTGAACTCAGAGACATTTAAGAAGATAATGATCCCCAAAGAGAAATAAATAATGTTTAATATGGCTATATTATTAAAATAAGGAATTGAGATTTATAACTGAATATCCAATGTTCAAGCACAAAGGACTTTATTAATACATAAACCAGGAGCGAATATCCCCTCAAATTAGGAAGATCATCTACATTATGCAGTTAAGTTTTTAATACCAGTTCTGCAGTCTCTCATTTGGAATCAAACTAAGAAATAGGAATACAATCCTGAATTTAAATCAAAAGAACTTAACAAATAAGAAAATAAGTACAAGGTATTTTTAGGTATTTTGAAATAATTATTCAGGATGTTCAAGAGATAGCATTTCATTGCGTTGACAGTATTACCAGTGCTACAGAAATCAAGTGTTTCTATGAAACTCACTAAGTCTTTTTCCTGTATCTTTTTTTTTTTTTTTTTTTTGGTGGTACCGGGGATTGAACTCAGGACCTTGTGCTTGCCAGGCAAGTGCTTATTCTACTGGGGTATCTCCCCGGCCTTTTCCTGTGTCATAAAACAATAGGAAAAATCTTATATATCAGATCTGTAAATTACAAGCTTACTTAAAAAAATCTACTGTGTGAGTCACATGTTCATCTGCTGTGTAATTAGCCCGCGTCTGACCCCTGTTCTCCTGGGACAGAGTTACACGCAGCAACTCTGACTGTGGCCTGGAGAAGCCGGGAAGCTGCACCCGCCGCCTGCGGCCTCTGGACAGGCGCTCTGAGCAGGTCTCCTCACAGAGATATCTCACTACACTGAGGCTCCACGTCCCACTTTATCATTTATTGTTATTAATTTTATCAATTAACTTTTAACCTTTAAGTTGGTCTCATTTTCAGATTGGCCAGTTCTGTTGAAGACCGGAAGAGTTCCAGTAATAACAAGGCCCAGTTCCTAAAAATAGACGGAAAGAAGAGAAAAATGAGTTACGAGTTCAATTTCTCCTTTTGCCTCAGACTCTGATATCTCAGAATAATTATTCCATAAAAAGCCAGAAAAATACTAACACATTTTAAGATATATTTGTTTAATTTTTTAAAAAATCAAGAAAATTTAAAAATAACAAAATGTGCTATGTAATTATTTAAGAAGGTGATCTTTAAGTAACAACTGTAAATAACCTAAATAAACACGATCATCTTGCACGAGTAACATGTAGCCTCTTTCTTACTTTACTGCAGCCAGACCTAGCATCTTTTCTTGTAGTGACAGCTTATCTATGACCAGGGTCCTCCACACGCACAGTGGCATTAAAATAGTTTTTCAAATGATTTAATTCCTTTTTTGTGCCTTCATTCTTAAATTTTCAATAATACACAAAAGTTTCATGCTATATCACAAATGAGGTGAATAACAGAAACAGAAACATACCATTGATACTTTATTTTTAGAATATTCTAGATGAATACTATGCTGCTCAGAAGGAGCACTACTATTCCTAAGTATTCCTGCACAGCAAATACAACTTTTTGACAAAGTAAAATAATGTAGAAAGGACTGCAGCTATTACATAGGAAATCTCTTTCTGAGCTATTCTAGCATTATGAAAATAATGCTACTCTAGTAATCACTGTGCAGATAATTTCATATACTAAATGAATTCATGGAGAATAGTATCAGCAGTTGCTTTTTTATAAAAGATTTATTTATTTATTTGGAACAGGGTCTCACTATGCAGCTCAGACTCATAGTGATCCTCCTGTCTCAGCCTCCCCAGCACTGGGATTACAGGCCTGCGCCACCAAGTCTGGCTTCAGCGGGTGGCATGGTGCAGAGCAAGCATGCCAGTAAGGGGCTCCTGGGATTGAACCCAGGTTCTTGCACTTGCCAGGCAGGCACTTAGACCACCGAGCTGTGTCCCTGGACCCAGTAGTTGCTTTTTCATTTTTGATGTCTGTGGTCATTGAGAGAGAGAGAGAGAGAGAGAACATCCATTACTATTTCATGTTAAGCATTTTCAACAAAATGTATTCATAAGGAAATAGTGAATTTACCAAACTGGCAAAATATTTATCATCCTCTGAAAAATAATCTCAAACTAAAAGGTCACCAACTCCATTCTGATTCCAAAACCAGCATGGAAGTGTTCCCAAAAGGCTGTGATTTTTAATTGTGTCCATGGGAACCCCCAAAATGACAGAAACAAAAGAGTAGAGACAATCATATAAAAGACTCTAGAAGCACAGGACAAATTGGGACAAAGAAAATAAGAGAACTGCAAATGCTGGGCAGGCAGGTGCGCGAGGACTCGCGTACTCGCTTTCCGTTTAGTTTTAAGAGGAAGCCAGTGAAAATACCCTTACTCACACAAGTTAATATTCTCAGCGAAAGCACTCCACCTCAATAGTGTGAGAATATAGATTAATTCCTCACTGCCCAAAAATAATTCGATGAAGATTACTTTGGAGACCTTTCTGAGTTATAATTTATTGGTGCAGTTTTTCAAATGTCACTGTGCACTAAAACAAGATGGATATGGGCATAGCCTCTTCCTTTGTGTGATTGCTGCATTTGTACAGGCTTCTAGAACACAGCCATGCGCATCCTCAACGGAGATGCTCGGCCGCGAGCCTCATGGGGCTTCAGGCCCCGCGCACGCCATCCCCACGCCTGCCCTCACTTATCAGTGCACCCAAGAGTGCACCCCACGCCTAGATGCAGGGCCACCTCAGGGGATTAAAAGGGAAAGAAAGAAATTTGCTGTCCCTGGGATTGCGTTTTTCTGGAGCTCAGCTCTTTGTATGAGATTTATCTATATATTTTATTTACTTTGTTCCCCACATAAACTGATAATCTCTTTTGTGTGATTGCTGCATTTGTACAGGCTTGTGCTAATCTTGTTTCAGTCCCTGTGCCTTATTATCTCAAAAGGTGACCATAGTAGTACTACTTCTGTTCTCCCAAATTTAAATTAGAGCTCGCTCCTCAACACCATAGAGAACTGCCTTGTACTCAGATGTGCAGCTAAAATGTCACTATTGTAAAAGCGTCTCTCGCTCTTGCTTTCACTCTCTCGCTCTCCCTCTTGCTCCCCCAAATGCATGACCTCTTTCTTTTGAAAAGCCAGTGTTCATTTAATATTCCATAGCATATTTACTACATTTTATCTTGAAACATACCTTTATATTTGTAATTGTTTATTTGGTACCAGGTACGTTGAGTTTCTTGTGTGCAGTGTGTATTTTGTTTATAAAAGTTACTTAAGGCGGAGTATGCTGACGCACACCCTAATTCTAGCACTCTGAAGGCTGAGGCAAGAGGATCACTGAGCATTCAGGGCCAGCCTGAACTCTATAGTAGAACTCTATCTTAGAAAGACAAATAAATAAATCATATATATATATATATATATATATATATGATGGGTCACATCGTCCTCAAATCAATAAAAACATTGCACTCTGCCTACTGAAGAGCCAATTCGTGTGTCTCTTATTTTACACTGACATCCAGCTTGCACAATAGACGTTTCCTAATGTCAGTTGTACTCTCAGTAGCAGCCCTGCCAGCACTGCAGATATTCTGGGTAATGAACTCCTGGTCATCGGAAACTAACGGGCAATGGTTGTTCACTCCTCCTAATATACACTGTCCCGTGACAGACTTGGAAGAGTGAAACATTTTGGCCACAGATGTAGATGACCATGTGACCCTAAGTAAATAAGTGACGTCAAGAAGAACAGGAGGCAGTCACTTTGCTGGGACTGGAGGTCCCAGCAAGCTTCCCTTTATCTTGGCCAGCAGGCGAGGATGCTGGCTAAGAGCGCCTATTTTCTCCCAGCTTCCTGTAGATGTTTATTTTCTAAGAACCAAATGATAAGTAATTCTAAACGGATTCCATTCTTCCCCTTGGGTTCATCTCTACATTTAAAACAGGAGTAACCACACATAACTGGATTCCAAGTGGGGAAGAGGTTACTATGGAACCAGTACCTAGTTTTCAGGGCTTGGTATTTTGGTTTTCTCCACTATGTTATTTCAGTAAGTCATTAGGAAGCGCTTCAAATTATGACCAAGCATAGGAATAAATATGAGCTGATGTAATTATTTCTTTCATGTCAGAAAAACAAAAGAAATCAAAGCAAGATCAAAAGCAGGGATTTTATATGAAGAGGTGATAAGGTATGTACTGATTTCAGGGCAGAATAATATTTTTGTTTGTCTAACTGAATATACTTCTGAGTTTTGTGAGTCAGGTTCCAGGTGAGCAGGTCGTACAAATTTCTCTTAGCTGACATCCACTTGAAAAATATATTATTCACAATTCTTGTTCGAAGTCTGAAGAAATACATACTCTTCTACATTCCTATAGGCTTTGCTCTTTATGTTAAAAATTCAAAATGGTCCCTAAATGTGATAAATTCATAATTCCACGTTAGAATTCTACATTCTCAAGAGATGAACTGCAAAATAGCACTATGTGTGTGGTTCGCTATTTTATACCAATCTAGGATTTTATTCAAGCTCTCCAAATTCTTGCAGCTGTGTCTGCAACTGAAGAACTTCAGGAAGGGCTGCATAAGAGTAAAGGAGTTCAACTAGGACAAAGCCTCGCTCCGGCATCTCCGGCTCAGCACCCCAAGCTCTCACCAGCGCATCCAGGTACACGTTTGTCCACTGGACTTTTCTAGCTTTTTCTCCTGCTAAAACCATCGGTCTTCCCAGAACATCGAGATATTCCTATTTGTAGAAGAAGAAAGAGTTGTGGTTCAAAACCAGGAATGCTTTGTTTAAAATATCTGTGAGGGAAAATGTTAATCTAGAGTTAAACATGAATACAGAAGTAAATTATTGGGAGAGAGAGAATACGGCCATAGAATCAAATTATTGAGAGATTGAATGTATGAGCACTGAATTTCTTTCTTTTTTTTTTCTTTGTATTTTAAGCAAGGGTCTACAGACTGTTCAGGGTCTCACCCTAGGTCAGACTCGTAGCGATCTGCCTGTTTACAGCCTCCCAACAGCTGGGCTTACAGGCATGCGCCACCACGCCCAGTATTATCACTGAATTCCTACTTTGGACATTCCATAAGTAGTTATTCCTAACCTTTCTGAATCATCAATATATGACTTATTTATGCACTATATTTATTCCAGCTTTTCCCCAGTGACAGGCAGAATGTTGTTTTCCCAAGTTAGGGCCAATGTTAAGTGAAACATGTTCCTTGTGAATATTTTATGTTGATCTAAACCATTAAGACTGTGGTTTTTCTGTATGAAATTGAACAAATTTGAAACAATAAAGCAACTACACACTGACTTTCACATCACACATTGTTTGGCTGAAATTCACAACCACATTTAAACATATCAAACAATAAGTGACGTGCACTCAGCGTCGACATCAGACCCGAATGCAGAGCGTTCAAGGAACGCCGCGCTCACCCTCACAAAGCCTGAGCTATCCAGGCTGAGCGGGGACTGCCTCTCACACGCAGACTCTTAGCTATCTTTAAAGTTGAGCAACAATTTTAAAGAGCAATCTCTGAATATTTCAGAGTACTACATATTTAAATAAATTTAATTACTGCATTCTACTGAATTTCCTTAACACACACGCTTTCCACTAAGTGTCACAGAATCAGCCCCTTGAAACTCCAGTTGAACAGGGAAACAGGTCTGCAGTGGGTGCTCCGAGCATCTGAGTCTAAGCAGGAGCTCATGCACGTCTCCGGAATGAGGAGCGCTCCGCAGTCTGCGAGGCCAGGAACCTGCCGCCATGATGTGGTAGACAATCAAGGTCAATGGCCTGAGGCCGCCCCCCGCGTTAGTAAGTGATTTTCCTCATTTCTCATGCTGCTTTTAACATCTGAGCAAAGCAATAATCTCATAGTCTTTTTTATCTCAAACTTAGGGTGCTCAGAAATACTGGGAATCTTAACGAAATAAGACCAATACGTCACCACTCTACGTACTATTTTAGTACACATAACATTATGGATCTTTTCATTTCCACTGCTCTCAGCATCATGAACATATTTAAATTAGAAAAGGAACTTTTGAGTTTTGTACAAATAAGACTCAAGTATCCATACCTGAGTATTAATTCTTATTGCTCCAATGGAAGGGATCTCATAATAATAACCTGAAATATACACACATTATAAACATCAATATTATATCATAATAAAGAGCCACAGAAGTCGTCTTATTCTTTGTAGTGAAAAAGCACATTCCTCTCACTTCTAAATTGAATAAAAATGAAAGTATAAGTACAAATGAATTCAGAAAATGTTTGATTCACAAAATTCACATGACTGTATAAGCTTTGTGAAAAATGGTATTTTAAAGTATCCTCTGTTTAAAGTAGTAGGAAAACTAGCGTCGTTGTAATATTTTTTGCACTGGATAAATTATTAAATATGCAGAAAGATATACCATTATAATGCACATGTAAAATGCAACTTTCAGGATATATTCAGGTTCTTGTTGCTATGGCTTCATCATTTATTTTTCAAATGCTATAATTTTTGTAAGTACAAAGGAAATATGGGCTCATAGGATGAAATGTAAATTATCTAGGAGTGTATGAGACACTTTCAGAAAAGTCATTCAGGTACTGAGAGAAAAAAATATACACATGCCATGTGGTCATTTGTCAATTATATAAAATTCAGGTATTCTTTCATTCCTAATTCTCCACATAAAATTGTAACTGTTATGTATTATTAAGTATCACTCAATATAATGTACCTTTTATGAATTTAGGACATCATGATCAGAGGTCTGACATTTTTATATCATAATACTAATGTCAAAATTTATTGTGTGTTTTCTTTGTGGAAGGCATGTTCAGAGCTGTACTTCTGCGTCAGTTCTAGTAGAAATTAATCTCAACTGCAGGTAATGTAAAATGGCAATGCAGGCCTAACAACAATGGCCAGAATATTCCTTGTAATGAAGCGCAGCCAGGAAAACATGCTACCTTTGTTCTCACAGGCCATCCACTGGATGGGTCCGCGGTCGTAATTGTGCTGACCAACCGAAAACGTGAAGACTCGCACCTGGGTGAGGAGGAGACAGGAGTAAAGCCCGCAGGCTGACGGAACATTCACTGAAGAGCAAAGCCAAGTAGCAAACTCAAGATAAATACATACATAAGAGCAAGTTTTCTACGTAGTTTACTCTGAGAAGAAAACCTGAGTTCAGTAAACAATTCGGAGAGGCACCAGAGAAACCCTACCCTGCCCCAAGCACAGACACCCAGCTGGAAGGAGCACTTTGGGGCCAGGCTGCGCTAGCAGAACAATGCACCTTTCATCTCCCTTTCAATTTAACCTCCCTCACCTGGTGACCAGAGTCACCTTACACAGGGCTGTAGCAAAAGACCACCCGGTGCCACCGGGAGACTGTGAGGAACCTCCGCAGAAGAGGTTGCCTCAGGTCTGGGTACCTGCGGCAACTCAGTAGAAGTTCTGCTGCATGCACACCACAGACACAAGTCAGGTGCGCCTGTGCGAAGTTGGTGCCGCACTCTCCGGGAGGGTCCCGGGCACACGTGCCCATCTCAGGCCCCCAGCTCCTTCCCAGCCCATGTGATGCCTACTGGAGGTATAAGTGCTAATTTATAAAAGGAATGTCCTGCTGTGCTCTGCTCAGACGTCCGAGGCAGGCCTCGCTCCAGGCATGACTGAAATGTCTTGGGGCATTTCTTTTTCTTTTTTTCTGTATTTTTAGGTGTGTGTTCAGGATCTCACTACTAAATCAGACTCATAATGATCCGGCTGTTTACAGCCTCCCAAGAGTTGTGATTACAGGCGAGCACCACCGCATCCAGTCTCAACTGCTGTCTCAGCGCACCCTGAGGGCGGGGCCAGCACAGCAGGACTGGGGATTGAACCCCCTGGCTCCTGTGCCTGCTTGCAGGCGCCTTAATCCACTGAGCTATCTGGCCAGCCCTGAGTTGACATTTCTGTTTCATCTATTTAGCTTTTGCCCGCTGCTACACGGTGCAGATCTTCGCAGAAAGGCCCATCTGTTATTCTTCCATTGCTCACGAACCCACACATCATGATGATCCTGAGCCCCGAAAGGCGCACGGGAAGTCGCTGTGCCTGAACCCCGGCTTCGTTGGAGCTGTCGTGTGGGAGTCCATCTGGCAGCACACTCGGCTGACTTTTAGTAATTTCAAAATTGTTAATGAAAAATGACCGGATCTGGGTTAACAGCAGAGGTGGCTTTCTGGGGCTTGGGCCTTCGCCTTCTGGTGTTTCTCTTTCTCTTTTTTCCTACTCTGCAGGAATTCTCCCTCGAATTTCTTTCTCTTGACGTGGGGTGGGGTCGGCCTGTCGTGCTGCTGCTGTCCTGGCTGAGCGCCCCGCAACCACCCTATCGGAAAAGTCCATTTAACTTTCTGCTCCTCCACAGTCGTGCCTGGAGCCAGGAGCACATTCCAGGTGCTTCAGAAAGCACTTAGTAGGTCCTTCACAGGCGTGCAGGAGGCCGGCCTTGGATATCTGAGCACAGCGGGTCCACCCAGTCCCACTCCCACGCCATGCCACCGTGAGGCGTGAGGCAGGGACAGGGCACCTGAGATGATTGTCTGTGCTCTGGCAGGCGAGCACTGCCAGCAAGAGAGGCCACGCCGCATGGTCACATGGCCTGAGGTCATTCACATAGCCCGACACACTGTGATCTCGTCCTCCTACAACTCTCCACGCAACTCCTGAAGCTGTCTTAGCGCAGAAGCTGCAGCTAGCTCTCCTGTTTGTCTAAATGGTGCTCTCAGGGCTGTCAAAATTCAGCACCTGGGGCCAGAGCATGGTACGGAAACACACCCGCTTGCCCGCAACACGATGTCTTACGTAGGCTGGACGATCTCCATTCCCTTTCCCTGTAGGTGCTGGGCTGTTTAAGTGGCAATTGCGCTGAATGACCCAATCGTGTGCACAGTATTGTTTAATTTGCACCCCTTACCTCGATTTTCATCTGCCCATCAACAGAAATCTTTAATAACTCAACATTTTCTGAAATTTTTCTTCTTTTGGTTCCTACAAACTCAAGACTCACAAGGGCAAGTCTCTTCTCAGCAGGGACGCAGGCCTCTTGCCATCGCAGTATGTCCAAAGCCTCGTAGCACTCAGCCATTCATTCTCCTCTTAGGTTGATGCTTTCAGACATCCATTCAACAATTTCATAAGTTATATGTAACTTCTACGTGTTATCTGTGGGTCACTCCACCACTTTCCCAAGTCATTTTATGAATTTAAACTCTCCTCAGTAAAAGATTAACAGAAGTCTCTCAAAACGCACACTTGAAAAATCAGTATGAAAATTACTCTTTTCCCAGGCGCTGCCGCATTGCCGAACCTTTCTCACTCCCTACATTTTAGGTAATTATAAAGTAAGACTTCTAACTTCATTGACTTCATAAATGGTTGAATTATATATTTAATAATACATGCAGGTAAAGAGCTGGTTAAATACTGCAAATCTCTGGGTAGAAAGAAGGGTTTTCTACATGGAATTTGAAGTGGTTTCATTCGCTGCATTTTGTGCTGTGTTACTGCCACCCTGTGGAAGTCAGCGAACTAACTCTAACATTACAGGATGGTGCAGCCCGCAGACAACAGCTGCTCTCTGCTTTACTGGTGCTGTCCCCTCTAACTCCATAATTCTGTTGTAGTCATAATTTTGGAGAAGTAGGAAACTAAAAGGATGGCTTCAAGCATGCATAACTTTATTTTTATTTTTATTTTTTTAGTGGAGCCAGGGATTAGAACTCAGGCCCTTGCGCTTGCCAGGGAAGCGCTTATTCCACTGAGCCATCTCCCCGGGCCCAAGCATGCATAACTTTAAATTTAAGACAGATTTCATTCACAAAGATGTTCATTTGTGGAGTTATTAGCGTGCTTGCAAACTTGCTCACAATTGTAACCGGGCAGTCACGCCAGCTAAGCGCCTCGCCAGGACCTTCACGGAAGCACGTCTCTTGCTCGAACGTCGCACTGTGGTGAACTCAGGTGCCGAGAGGCAACCTGCTGCTCACACCCCACACTCATCTGAAATAGTCATGGCAGCCCGTGTGACAAGGACGTGCTGGGAACTGCCTAAGCGAAGCGTTCCTAGGAGATCAGTGAGAACCTGCTGAGCTGATGTGTGTGATCTCATGCAGGCTCTTGTTTCAAAGTGTTCGCTTCTCTCCAGCCTAAGCCGCTGAGAGGAGCACAAAGGAGACGGAGCCTGTGCTGTCCGGGGTGCCACAGAACAGGTCTTCCGCAGAACTAGGTGGGGAACGGGCAGGCGCCGGGCAGCTCCGCGAGGGCACGGGTTGGTGCCGAGGGTGGCTCCCTGGGCGGCTGGAAGGATGCTGGCCCCGCAGCTGGCTAGCAGCCATCGTTCACTTTCTAAGGTAGTGCTTTCATGTTACACATATCGTGGTGGGCATCTAATCTTGTTATTTCATATTTTGTAGACAAGTTCACTGGAAATGAATGAAACTTTCAGGCAAGAACAAGTATATTAAAACACATATTTTATATATTGAATTATTTCTATAGGATACAAAAATTTGGCAACTGTGAACTTACACTCACTGATTTGCTTGGTATAGGCCACTGGTTTCTAACTTTACATGATGCTCCTGTATTCTGCTAATCTGCCTTCCATCTTGTTTGTTGAAGACTAAAACAGTTCCCTTCATTTAAGAGTTCTCTAGAGCCACAGGGTTAGTCTTTTTAGAGGCTGTAGGAATCTGCTTCCCAGCTGAATTCAGTTACTGGAAACTGTCCCCTCCACAGTGACCAGCGAGCCGGAGTTCAAGCTTACCGTACGCTAGGCAAATCTCCAGCGAGTAATAGGGGCAAGTCTCCAGAAAAAGGAAGCCAGTAAAACTCAAATAAAGATGTCAGCTATCGAAACGCGTTAGAAAAGTGATGTCAGCGATGGGCTTTTATTAATGTACTCTGTGTACGAAAAGCTTTGGTGTGGAGCCCATCAAAATACTAGACTGCTATTTTCGGAGAAAATTCCACAGTGGTTTCCATCATTCACAAATGCACAGAAACATAGAGTGTTTGAATAGCTCAGGTCTTCAATTTTATTTATTTTTAGATGAATATATAAATTTAATTTAAAAATAAGATCAGGGCTGGGGACACAGCACAGCAATCTAAGCACCTGCCTGGCAAGTGCAAGGACCCGGGTTCGATCCCTGGTACCACATGCCCTGCCAGCCCCAGAAAGCTTGACGTGCCATGCTGGCCAGGAACAGGGCATGGTGGCACATGCCTGTAATCCCAGCACTGGGGAGGCTGAGACAGGAGGATCATTAAGGGTCCAAACTGTACAGTAGGACTCTGTACCAAAAAATAAAATAGATAAAATAAAATAAGATGAACTGTAAAATATAGGCTTTATAAGCTTTCCATAATGCTGGTGACATTGGATACTCCTTATAGTGTTTTCTAGTTTTATGGCAGCATTTAATGAATAAAAGTGTCCATGGTCCCCCTTCACACTTAGTTCATTTTCTCCAGCCCAGAGATCTGAAAGGTACTTGTAGACCCCCAAGTTCTGATGTCCCCTCTTGGCCTGAGGGGCAAAGTCCGGCTACCTCAGGGAGCAGAACTCCCAGAACAAATAATAATTAGCACACCCTGCAGGCTGCCAGGGAGGAAGTCCCAGACAGACAGCAGCCAGGCCCCCTCCAGATGAGGCCAGGGGATTTGTGGGCCAGATGACTGAATTTTAGACTCTGTCACTACACAGCTGCTTGACTTTCCCCAAGTTGGGCTTTTATGTTTCCAAAATGTGACAATAAAGATGGCAACTGTGTCAAGAGTACTTTCACGATCTGAGTATTTCAGTTGTGAATAAAATTACAAATGCAAAACACTTACTTCATATGGAAAATTATAAGCTCCACCAATGCGAACTAGAATAGTGAGGAAGATAATGAACTAAAGCCAAAACGTCGCCGGCCTGTGTCCAAATGGCAGTGTTCGGCGAGGTGCCATTTCTACTAGCGGGGCACTGACCTTTCAGCCCCAAAACAATGACCTTC